CCACAGCCACACATGAAACAAACAGTGCACAACATCTCAGACAAGATCCTCACTGAAGCTGAAACCAAGGTCCTTTCAAAAGGATTCAACTTTGCTGTCGCCCCCAAACACATCCCCACAGAAACCATCATATGTGGAGTTGAAACCAGCCTGACCAAAACCAACCCTGATGATGCTAACAAAATCAGACTTGAAATCACCAACATCCTCTGCACTAGCAAACCACCCAAAAGCAACTTATCCAAAGAAGAACAAACTGCACTACTTAACCTGAAAGAAGACACCAGCATAATAATCCTACCAACAGACAAGGGCAACGCGACAGTGGTTATGAACACATCTGACTACCAAACCAAGTTAACCAACCTACTCCAAGACCCCACATACAAACCCCTAAACACAGACCCCACCACTTACCTAGAAAAAATCACCAGATCCAAAATAAAAGCCTCCCCCATCAGCGAAGAAATCCAGCAAAGAATCATACCTGGAGAGAAATCATCCAGATGCCCTAAGCTTTATGGTTTGCCCAAGATACACAAAGAAGGAACCCCACTTAGACCAATAGTCAGCTCCATAGGCTCACCTCTACAAAACCTAGCCAAATTTCTCGCCAAACAACTATAGCCCTATGCAAAATCCATCAACTCACATGTAAAAAACTTATTCCAGTTCATCGAGATCATAAAGAAACAAAACTTACAATCCAGCGACCTACTAGTGAGCTTCGATGTCATATCCCTCTTCACCCAAGTGCCAATAAAAGAAGCCTTGTCAGCCATCCAAAACAAATACACCCCCCCCCCAAGCACATCCTAGATCTGACCAACCATTGCCTATCCAATACATACTTCACCTACAATGGACAAAAATACAAACAAATAGAAGGAGCACCCATGGGATCACCCCTCTCACCTGTCATCGCAAACCTCTACATGGAACACTTTGAAACACAAGCTCTAGAAAAATATGATCACAAACCCGAACTCTGGCTCAGATACGTAGATGACACCTTCATAATCTGGCCACATGGGAAAGAAAAACTGAACAACTTCCTCACACACCTCAACAGCATACACCCCAAAATATAATTCACCATGGAAACAGAAGCTAACAATCAACTTCCCTTCCTCGATGTCTTAGTATACAAAAAATCCAATGGCTCCCTAGGACACACCATCTACCAGAAGAAAACACATACAAACCACTATCTACATGCACTCTCACACCACCACCCAGCACAGATCAATTCCATAGCTGAGACACTCATCTCCAGAACAAAATGCTTAGCCAACGAACAATACCTAAAAACCGAACTACACACTCTCACTAATGTACTAACAGCCAATGAATTCCAAAGAAAGAAGATTACCCACCTAATCTAAAAAGAAACCCCAACCAAAATCCAAGACAGAAAAAAAAAATATTTTAATATCTTATATCTAATATTTAATATAATAATAATATCTTTAAAAAAAAAGAAAGAAAAACTATAAAAAAACAAAAAACAAAATCCAAGACAGAGAACAAGAGAACGGCAAAGCCCTCCTCCCATATATAAAAGGCACTACAGACAAAATCAGCAAGATCCTCCCTAAACACAACATTAAAACAGCATTCTACACAAACAGAAAAATATCCACCATCCTAAGAAACCCTAAAGACAAAATTGAGTTAGAAAACCAAGGAGTATACGAAATCCCTTGCACCGCCTGCCCCACCACATACATCGGACAAACTAACAAAAGAATAAGTGCATGCATTAAAGAACACAAGAACTCAATCAAAAAAGAAGAACCGACCTCTTCCCTCGTCCAACACCTCAAAGCCACAGGACATGAGACTGACTTTAAAAATACCAGAACTATCACCAAAACCGAACACTTCAACAACAGAATAATCAGAGAAGCCATAGAGATAGAAAAACGCCCACACAGCATGAATAAACGAGATGATACCTCCCGCCTACCAGCCATTTGGAAACCCGCCCTCATGAACAGACGAGTACCTAACATGAAGAATGACACCAGACCCACACCCACGAGGGCCACACAAGATGCTACCACCACACTTCCACATAGAAAGCAGACTCACACCCACACAGAAGATGAGACACGACCATGGACCAGAAGCCGCACTGCAGCTGCATCACTACCCACTTCAAACCCCTCCGACCCATACATGAAGTGAACTGACGCACACCATGAAGATGCGGCACGACCACGAACGTGAAGCCAAACAGCAGGATCACAGCTCACCAGCTCAATCCCCCAGCAACTAAGACTAACCTGAGCACAACCAAGCCCCCACCTGAACAGAACACATCCCCAGCCAATCAGAACACAGCCAGCCCCCCAACCAATCAGAACACAGCCAAACCCCCAACCAATGAGAACACACCCCCACCCAATCAGAACATAGCCAAGCCCCCACCCAATCAAGTCACACCCCCACTAGCAGTTAAAAGGAAGAAGCAGCTGCAAGCTCACATTACTCTAAGAAGCACAGAGCCGAAGACACAAGCCTGAAGATGATGAATGAAACTTCATCGAAACGTTGCCTAGATACTTCCAATTTTACGCGGGAGAAAACCCGAATAACCAAAGATCCATATACATATATATGCATAAGAATTTTTTTAATTGTTTTTCTCCAAAGCAAATTTTAAATCTAATAAAATAAAGGCACACAAATACACCACAATGAACTTTGCTGTGTGGATAGCATGTATATGAGGAAGTGTTGCTCCTATTAGAAAACTGATATCTGCCTGAGAAAACAATATATGGAAAAATTCGATGATTTCCTCCCAACTTTCAGCATCATCCATTACTTAGTTACACATCAGTGAAAAACTGCCGATAACTATAAAAGCCCTAAGTAAATAGCAATTAATTTAGAGCTGGAGCTGACACAGCTGATTTGATATGCTTGCTTAATAATGCATTAGTATTCCAATTTTGCTTGCCTGCATTCTGGTATTATTATTTTTTATTTCCCATTTAAAATATTAATGAGATAATGCAAAGGTGAGCAGATTATTTGGAGTTCTTATCTTGTCCTACCATTCTTCCTTAACCTGCTGTTTTCCAGATGAGCTGGATTATAAATTTCTTCAACTTTCTCAACCAGAATGATCATTAGACTTGCTGGTTATTTAAACTTGCTGGAAATTTTGCTGGAAAAGACTTGCTGGAAATTTTAAACTTAGCATATCTGGATCTCACTGAGAAAGAAAATATTATTGTATATCTTCTGCATCACATGAAATACTGTGTCTTGTTCTCTCATGCTGCTAACGTAAAATAAAATCCACCATTCTTTGATCAGCCACCTTTTTCGTTGATTTTTTTTCAAGGACATCTTAAAGAACATTTTACTTAGTTATGTCACTTGGAGCGAATTTAGGAAGGGATCTTTGCTTTGACAGACTTTCATATTTTGACTTCTCTTGTGATCACACAATAAAAAGAACACTTCTAAGCTACATGTTCAACATTTTCTTCAGAATTGTTTAAGTAATGTCTAACTGATATCATTAAAGGTTGAAATAAATCTCTATGGATATATCAATATACAAAGGATGCCAGTGCTGAGGGTGAGAGAACAGAAGGCCAAGTCCAATTACACAACCAGAATCCTATGTATCCAATGCCAAAGCTTATCTTTACATGCTTATTGGCAGTGAAAATGTTATAAATTCCATGATTTTGGTAAAACTGTATATCAGGTACCATCAGCTCACATTGACTGGGACTTCAATATTCAAGGACAATGGTTATGTGGAAGGTGATGGGGCTTTAATAAGCAAGTGTGGCTAAACTCACATAGGCACAGGCGGAATTGTATTAAAGACTGTGAAGGCTTTTTGGATTCTGTCCATTCTTTGCCTTACCTGCCACTCCAAAAGGCCTTCTTATGCCCTGAGTATATTTTTTGGTGTTAGTATCTTTGAGATCCATTTTTCCAATTCGTACAATTTGACAGATCAAATAAATTCGATCCCTTCCAAGATCTTTGTTTCCAAGATCCTGAGATAAATAACAGCAAAATTCAATTGACAGACTGACAGTTAAAAAACTATCCAAATATCAGCATTTTCTGGGCTAATAATATAACAATAACAACAGAAAAAATGTTGTTTTAGCACCAACTGATTTAAGCAACATGAATGAAATAGAATCTGCAGAAAATAAGAAATAGAAAAATAAGAATATAGTAAAGAAAAAGAAAAAATAAAGATTTCATCCTTCACAATTTTATTACTTTTACTTAGCATATAACAAATGATCTCTTCTTTTCATATCCCATCTCTTATCTATAAACAAATCCTTAAAGCCTAGTTTTTCTGTTCTGATGAGAAAAAGCAATTGATTAAGGGTTACCGCAGATAACAACATATCTATTTTAACTTTGGTCAAACAAACCAACTTTATATTCCTCCTTTTAAGAATTTTGAACTTTATTTCTCTCAAATAATGTCCTTGAACTTGATTTCTTTTAATTTTTCTTTGTTCCTTCTCACAAAATTCTTCAAAGCTTTAATAAGACTTTTTAGTAATATATAGGAAAATTATTCAGGTCACCCTTTTACATTATTTGTGTATCCTTTTCATTATTAAGACATCATCCAGTTTTATTTGTTTTCCAGTGAAGTATCTTTTTCTATATTATTCTTGTAGCCTGTCATTTTTAAATCCATGCAGTCTAAATCTTGTCTCAATAAAATGTGTTGCTCTTCCATAACTTCTTTTATACACTGTCTATCTATAGAGATATGGTAGACACTCTTAAAATTAACTTCTGGGTCCAAATATATCCTTCAATATGTTTAGCATTAAAATATTTTTCTCCGTTCTATATTAATAAGTCAAATTTAAATCTCTTTTCCTTGTTATCTTTAGTTTCTTCTGGTTCTCTGTAGTGTCCAACCTTCAAAATCATATTCTATCATGTGTTGTTTTAAAAAAGATTCAAAACAAAATTATTTCACCCTGTGAAAAATTCTTACAATTAGTCTGAAATCTTATTTCCAATCCATCTGAACTCTTTGTTCATTTTTTTAACTTTCCCATGCCAAAGTTTATTCCAAAGAAACAATATTTTTAGTTTTTAAATTTGCACTTAATTTTTTCCCTCCATGCTAGAAACAACTGCCTGGAACACTTGTGGACCATCTCTGTTCCCTTCCTTTTTCTAGGGAACTGCAAATTGCTGATCCATCACCAGTTCTTCTTTTAGTTGAGTCAATCATCAAATTCCTGATCTATTCAGCTCTGCTTTTAGTGGAGTTGTCTTTAGCTTGGCATTTCTTCCCCAGAAGTTCTCAGGTAATTAGAATATAATTTATATGTTTCAGTGACTTACTTAGTCATCTGTTGTATTTAGCATAACATCTGTGTACAATATGATAATTTTTCTTGTACCACAATATTAATGTTTCTCAAATATAGCTAGATAAAAGCCATAACCATGGATCAGTTATTTCAAATTGACAACCACAATCTATCCTCATGGTTTCAGGATTAAGTCAGTCTAGCCAAACACTAGATTTAGTCTTACGGCTATGTTTCTCCCCACATAATTTATTTGAAAAAGTTAGTTTTATGATTCATTCAGTAATTTTTCAGAGAGAAGGACCATATCTATTTCACAATACTGCTCAAAAAATTAAAAACAAAATCCTTACAAAAATAAGTTATCTTTTCACCTATCAAGCAATCCTTAACTGTGGTTACTTACATAAGACACAATAGCTGAGTTTGCACAAGTCAAAAACACATAATGCCTTTGTATTATATGCACAGTTAGCCATAGAGAGAGAATGAATGAAATGAGATCACTTAGCAGAATTCTGCTAATTCTGTTTCCTGTGGCAGATGAGAAATACTTGATTCTGCAAGTTTTCCAAAAAATGTACAGGTAGTATGGGTGGTTGGAGTGAAAGGATTATTTTAAAAAAAACTACTTACAGTGAAAACCACTTTAAGATTGTTGAAATTGTCAACTTCTTTGACAAAACCTTTGCTCCCCCACCTCACCAAATAATTTTCACTGTGGAAAAATAAACATTATATAAACTCATATTATCACAATGAAATAGCACTGTATAAGAAGATATTGACAAGCAATTTTAAATTATATTGAGTGCATCATTGAAAATTCTGCCAACTAAGTTTCAAATTTCAGCTCCTGCAACTTCAGTCATGCTTGACTAAACCCAGAGCAATGGGGAAAGTCAGACAATGGTTAATAATTATGTAAAGAGACAAGCAGCTCCATTAACCTATTAAAATAGTTCAGGCTTTGATGCAAACCTGGGCTACCCATAAGTCATTCTGATGTCTTACCAAATGAGTCATTAATATAAATATGCCTGTTCATAAACTGTGTATGTTTAATCCTAAATTCATCCAAACCACAAGAGAGTGTCATAATCCACACATTTATAATCTCACACACAGGTTTAAGTTTCTTAGGAAAATGGACACTGCGCATCAGTGGAAGAAAAATTGGCATACCTTATCACTGTATGCTTATGGGGATCATAGAGGGACATGAAAAGTTCAGCATCTTCTCCTATTTTGCAGACAAAATTTCTTACAAAGACATAAAGGCTGTGAGTGGGGGATGAAGTATTTCGGCAGAAAGTTCCATATATCGGCTCATCTTTTGACTGACAATCAACAACAAATAAGTGAAAGAGATGTTATTAGAAAAACAGCAAAAGAACTTGATAAACAGATTTACTTAAAAAAAAACATATCTTAATGCTACATCACATCTTTGTGGTCAGGAACATTTAAACCACAACATTTATCACACTTTTTCCAACTTTCCTGTCCAGTTGTGCTGAAATATAATCCATGTAATGTTTGGTCATTTTAAATACCTGAGGTACAAAATTAAGTAAACTGCTATAAATATGTACAAAATCCTCTCTACTTTTGAAATCAAACATATTTGTGTAGGTACAAGGCAGACTTTCCCAAACTGTGAAATATACTTCAACAGAGTTCAGGGGAAGTGTGAAAAACGTATAGTTGTCGAATTATTACAATAAATTCATGTTCACATTTCCCAAAATATGATCTTTACCTGAATATATATATATATATATATATATATATATATATATATATATAT